CCACCACCCCCACCCCTCCCTGACATGGGGTGCCCACCCGCAACCCCCCTGCCCGGTGCGGGCTGGAGCCCCACGGGGGGCGTGGAGGACGTCATCCTGGCCCAGGTGGACCACGGGCTGGGCTCTGCCCGGGTCCCCAGCCACCGGCGAGTGCACCCGCCCACGCTGCGCATGAAGAAGCTCAACTGGCAGAAGCTGCCGTCCAGCGTGGCACGCGGTGAGGACCCCGGGGCACCGCCTTCTGGTGGTCCTGGCCGCACTGGGTGTGGGACCAGCCTGTGGCGGGCGGCACGGGCGGAGGGCCCTGCTGGGGCGGTCCACGCAGGCAGGGAGGCCCGCGGTGTGCGGCCCCCACAGCCCCCGCACTGCCCCCCCAGAGCACAGCTCCATGTGGGCCGCGCTGAGCAGCCAGGGCGCCGAGGTGGAGCCTGACTTCTCCAGCATCGAGCGGCTCTTCTCCTTCCCGCTGGCCAAGCCCAAGGAGCCGGCGGCCGCCCCGGCCAGGAAGGAGCCCAAGGAGGTAGGAACCGCACGGGGCGGGGCTCCCGGCCCTCCCCAGATGCCAGCGGGTGGGTCTGTGCCTTCCAGATCACCTTTCTGGACCCTAAGAAGAGCCTGAACCTCAACATCTTCCTGAAGCAGTTTAAATGGTGAGCGCCCAGCCCCCCTCGGCCCGAGCCTCGGCCGCACCCTCCAGCCGCAGCGTGGGCTCGGCAGCGCCCTCTACCGGCCGCCCCGGGGTGCGCCGTCTGGTCCCTGGGCCTGAGCCGGGGTTGGAGGGGCAACGGCCACACACCACGCCCACCCCACTCCTGGCGACCCCCAGACCGCAGTCTAGATCCTGGGGAAGCAGACCCCAAGAGTGGCCGGGAGCCCCCAAGGCCCAGGCAGGCGGCGGCCAGGCGAAGGCAGCAGCTGGCTCTGCCTCTGGCTGGGGGTCTCTCCTGGGGGCGGCCTTCGAGGGGGCAGGGGCGGCCTGCGGAGGGGCCAGGGGCGCCTTCGAGGGGGCAGGGGCGGCCTGCGGAGGGGCCAGGGGTGCTGCACGTGGGGCCAGGGAAGGAGCGGCTGGGGCGGCTGGCCTTCTCGGTGCCTGCAGCCCCGGGTCGGGCGGGAGAGGGCACCGGGCCAGGACCAGACTGAGCCTGCTGCCCCCGCCCCACCCCCCGAAGCTCCAACCAGGAGATTGTGGCCATGATCCGGGCGGGGGACACCACCAGGTTCGACGTGGAGGTCCTCAAGCAGCTGCTCAAGCTCCTGCCCGAGAAGCACGAGGTAAGGTGTCCTCGGCTCAGCAGTACAGAGGCGCCGGCCACCAGGAGTGGGGTCCGCCTGTGGCCCAGGGAGGCGGGCGCAAGTGGGTGCCGGGCAGGGCTGGGCTGCGAGGGGCAGCTTCCAGCCGGGCCCGACAGCAGCTTCCCTCAGGTTGAGCACCTGCGCTCGTTCACGGAGGAGCCGGCCAGGCTGGCCAGCGCCGACCGGTTCTACATGCTGCTGCTGGGCATCCCCTGGTGAGCTGGGCATCCCCGACAGTGGGGGGCGGGGGTTGCAGAGGGCCTCCCGAGGGGGGCCCTGTTGGGTTGCAGCTGGCAAGGGGGTGGGGGCAGCCAGACCAGAGGGAGGTGTCCTGGGCGACAGGCATAGGGGGGTGTCCCCAGGGAGGTCAGGGCCCGGTGAGGTGCCCCTCCCTGCAAAGCTGCCAGGCCCCCGCCAGCACCGCCCCTGCAGCTTCGGGGGACCCGGCCCTCCCCCAGCACCACCCCTGCAGCTTTGGGGGACCGGGCCCTCCCCCAGCACCGCCCCTGCAGCTTCGGGGGACCGGGCCCTCCCCCAGCACCGCCCCTGCCACCCCCAGCTACCAGCTGCGCGTCGAGTGCATGCTGCTGTGCGAGGGCTCGGCCGTCTTGCTGGACACGGTGCTGCCCAAGGCCCAGCTGGTGCTCGCTGCCTGTGAAGGTGAGTGGCCAGGTGGCGGGAGGGTGGGAGCGCCCCCCACCTTGCCAACTCGCCCTCAGGCCCGCCCCAAGTGAGGGCCGGTGGGCTCGCTGACCTGAGCGTGTCGCGGTGGACACACGTGGGCACCACCCAGCCAGCCCGCGATGGTGTGCAGAGAGCCAGGGCCAGACGGCTCCGGAGGCCCCTGGTGCCCTGGCCACAGATGGTGGAGCCAACTGCCCTGCTGTCCGGGGCTGCAGGGGGCGCCCCACCACAGGCCCTGGCAGAATGGGGAGGGGCCAGTATGGAGGCCAGCAGTCCACACGGCTGCCCACCCCTCAGCCTGCCCTGCCCGCAGGCCTGCTCACCAGCCACCAGCTGCCCGTCTTCTGCCAGCTGATCCTGAAAATTGGGAACTTCCTCAACTATGTAAGTGGCCACACCC